GTCATAGGCAGAGCGGAGAGACCGAGAAGGGGCATACTTGTGAATCAGTGAAGAGATAAAATAGGGGCTAGCATCGTTCAGTACTTTATAGGTATGGGTTAGTACTTTGAATTTACTCCTTCAGGATACAGGGAGCCAATATAAGGATCGACAGAGGGATGAGGTGTGAGAGGAGCGACTGAAGAGGCAAATCAGTCTGGCAACAGCATACATTACAGACTGTAGTGGGGCAGTACAGTTTTTGGGAAGACCAATTAGGAGGGAATTACAAAAGTAAATGCAAGAGATTACTAGAGCATGAACAGACACCTTAGTAACGTCTTGGGTAAGAAAGAGGCGGATGCAGGAACTGTTTTTTATTTGGAATCGACAGGATTTGGCAACAGACTGGACATGAGACAAAGGTGAGATCAGAATCAAATACAATACAAGACAGTGTGCTTGCAAGGATGGGCTGATGCAGGTACCATCAACTTGTAGGGAGAGAGAAAGAGGAGGATCACTATTATGAGAAGGAAGGACAAAAATCTCAGTTTTAGAGAGATACATTTCAAAAATCAGGTGGACATCCAATCAGAGATGGAAGAAAGGAAAGCAGTGACATGTTGCAGGATGGTGCCATGAGGTCTGGGGAGGAGAGATTATTCAATTTAATAATAGGGCAACCAGTTGAATACTTAGTGGAACTGGATAGAGCACATCACACTCTGAGGTCTAAAGGTACAAAAAAGATGCACCCAGAGATGTAAAGTTCATTATTATTCCTTGAAAGAGAAGGTTCTATGATGCCTCTGAAACACTACACTTCCCCTGACTTTTAATGGGTGCCCTGTGTAGCTTTATCCAGATGTTCCTTGACTCACTATACAAGCCAATTGAGTTATGCAAGCCAATTGAGTTATGCGGCCCATCACTGAACGTCTCTGCAGTGGGAACATTAAATGTTGCTGGATGCTTTCCATTCAACTTCATTGCCAATCATAATGGCCAGACCCATGCCATTGCCAATATTCTTGATATGAATCACTTTTTCAAGGCACTTATTTCTACAAGATACCTCTGTTGTTTACTGATTCATGCCACAATCTCCTGATCTGATTGTCTGCCTCACATGTGGCACATATTCATCCATTTATAAAAATGTGGTTAATGACATTTACGGTCCATACAGGAAAAGTTGTGCCGAGCAGCAACCTAATCCACAGAAGGGTTAATGCTGAGCAGCAATTATGCAAATGGAAACCTGGTAACTGACTTTGAGGTCAAAGGCCAGTTACAGCCTATCTGATCTAGAGGAGGAGTATTTAGGCCCAGTTCTCATCCTGCTCAGTGCCCTGTCGTGGTTTCCCTTGTGGTTGTCCGAGAGCGCGTTATTTATTCTGGTATTTCTGGTTATTTGACTTTGGCATTGTTTTTGACTTCCCTGTTTTCTGGTATCCCTGACTCCTGGCTTTTCCTTATCATTGTGTCTCTTTCTGTATCCCTTGACCTCGGCTATTCCTGACTATTCTTTGGTACGTTAGTCCGGCCATTCTAAGGTCCGGTATACGTTACCTATCAGTCCTCTGTGTGTTACACAATTCTATGTGCTGGATCATACTGTAATCCTGACACCATGCCACCAAAACAGAGGTGGCAACAGCCATCTAAAAAGAGGCAAACAAATAACCCCAATTCATCCATCAGATCTACTCCTTTCAGGGGTCAAGTGGGAGTGACAAAGTCAATGTGAAACAACCTGAATCCATCCCCACTCCCCATGTTGTGTCTTCACGGTGATACACAGCTTATGTCCCATGGTTCTTATATGTGTATACCACTTCAGTCTACATTAATGCAATATTCTGCTGTTTATCTCACTGGGACATTAACATGCTATGGAATCCCAAACGGGATGGGACATACTTCCTTATCTCTTATTTGGAGTGTATCCATTAATGATTGGATATTATTTACATTTTTTCTTATATACTTTTATTTGTTTCATTATTCCCCTGGATTCTCAAAGCACAGATGTTTGGGGATCACATGTGCCTTAGTCCTCATTTTACATAGGGTACTGGCTAGTCCAAACAACCTCCCCTCTCTTATATGTCCATTATTGTCTTAGGTTATATGCCTTTGAATTATATTGACAGATGGCGTCTCAGGTACTAATGTACTAACATGGACCTATATTTATAAGACATCTCCCACTTTCAACTATCAAGAAAAGAAAGCGAAACATGGAAGAAAAAAAAATATATGTATTAATATATATATATATAAAATCTTAAAGGCATTTGTTGCCATACAAAAAGTTGTAATCATCAAAGAAGGATAGATAAAAGTTTCACAGCATTCTAAATAGAACTATTAACATAAGTCCAAAAGTAGTATGAAACATCCCTAAATAAAAAGTAGTAATAGTACAATAGGTGTCAAGAGTATATAATAATTTTTTTATAAACTATTTTACCAGGAAAGATACATTGATATTTCTCACGTTTTCAACTATGTCCTGGGTCCACAAAACATTGCATTGATACATTAGGGTAGAATAAAATACAAAAACAATATTAATAAACAATATATACAAAATTTAACACAGAAAAGGTAGGAAATATATAATCAACCATTCTGTTTTGAGGTATGTAGAGAGGGATCTCTTAAAGGACTTTAGGCTTGGGGAAGATATTAAAGTGTGCGGGAGGTCGTTCCACAATTGCGGCGCTGTGTAGGAGAAGGAGGATCGGGCCGCTTATTTTTTTGTATTACGGTAGACTAAATAAAGTGCTGGTACTGGATCGGAAGTTATAGGAGGTGGGAACAGCCGAGGAGAGCAGTCTGCTTCCCAGAAAAGCACTTAAACACAAGGCTGGAAAGATGAAGGGTGCGTCTGAATTCCAGTGAAAGCCAGTTTAATTCTTTTAGCATGTCACAATGGTGGGTCATCTAATTTCATTGTACCACAAATCGGCAGAACGAGTTATACAATGTATTGAGTTTAATAATGTGGGATTGCGGTGCAGGTGCATATACTACATACCCATAATCAATAATCAATGGCATCAGCATTTGCTGTACAATCTTTACCTGTCCTGTAGGGCTTAGGCAGGATTTGTTTTTGTACAGGGCACCTAGTTTTGGATAAAGTTTAGATGCAAGTTTTTCTATGTGGAGGCCAAAAGATAGATTGGTGTCTAACCACATACCCAAGTATTTGAAAGAGTGGACTGCGGTCAGTGTGCTATTTGAATTTGTTTTGATGGATAGGTGGGAATTGTGTAATTTGTGTAATTTAGGTACTGTTCCAAAGATCATTGTGACAGTTTTGTCAGTGTTTGGGAAGATTTTGTTTTTTTGCGATCCACTTTTCTAACTCTGTAAACTTGTCTTGGAGAACAGCCTCAAGCTGCGGTAGATCGGATTTGCTTGCATAGATTACTGTGTCGTCTGTGTACATGTGTACATTTGAGGATTTGCAGACATTAGGCAGATTATTTATAAAAACACAACAAAGTTTACGCCTTGCTAGCCAATCCACTCCAATAGATGGAAAAAGGCTATATGGTCAAATGGTGGTGCCAGCTCCACCAAGGGCTTTTACCCTGATTTATAAATAGACTGAAAAATAATAAAGATAATCTCCAACTAGGGAGATCTGAGGGTGCTGGCAAAAAATATATAAATACAACATATGCAGAAACAGTACATAAAATGGACTAGCTAGTATGGAGAGCTATTAGGGGGGGAGGAGGGAAGGGAACATTTTTTTTTGAATATTTAATCTTTATTTATATTTTTTTTTCCTTATTAAATACATATATCATACAAATACATATATCATACAAATTTACAATACAAAACGACATAGCAGCAAAATAGGGAAGAGAAAAGAAAAATACCTCAAAAAAGTTTCCATAGCTGAGTGGTAATTTAATTTAAATGTATCTCATAATTTTTTGCAATGTTCATGGAATTAGTCTACTTCTAATTGATCAGCATTATTTTCTACATCAATCATCTATATACAATTTGACCAAACAGAAACCTTATTACTTAGTCTTTGTTTACTTAGCATCAACTCCATTTTAATCTGAAACTCAAGTTGAATTTTAACTTTCTTCCAGGGGACTTCTAAATCTTTTTTCCACCATCTCGCAATTACTATTTTAGCAGCTAAAAAAAGATATATAAGAATTGCTTTTAGCTCATATGTCATATGTGGCCAGTTCAAATGCAACAGAACTACCTCTGGAGAAATTTTCAACTCGAGTTTTAAATTATTGGATATAAAATGCTGTATTTTCAACCAGAGATTCTTTAGTTTATTGCAATCCCACCAAATATGTCTAAAATTGCCTCTAATACTATTACATCTCCAGCAGATAGGATTAATTAAGGGATAAATTTTGTTCAATTTAGCTGGTACTAAGTACCACCTATTTAAAACTTTAAAGTGTGTTTCTAGTAAGTTTAATGAATGTATATTTTTCTTAACATCCATCATTGAAGAACCCCATTGGTTCAAACTAATATCAATATCTAAATCTTGTTTCCAAACCTGTATGGCAGTAGGGTTTGTATCTTTAGCCATTGATTTAATTAATATCAAAGCTTTAGAGAGTGGTTTATTAGATTTTTTGACGTGAATAATAAATCAATCAAGTTGCTCAAATTAGATTTTGGTATTATAAGGTGTGTATTCATATAACTTTTAAGTCTTAAAAAATTAAACACCTCTCTAGAAGGAAGATTATATACACCTGTTATTTGAGCAAAAGTTTTGATTGATCCTTCTATCAATAATTGATCCAAGGTCGTTATCCCTAATTTTTTTTCAATTGTTTAAGTTTAAATCTTCCACTTGTTTTTCTACAATATCTAACTCTAAATAGCTTGGAACTTTTTTTTCTATATTCATTGCTTTTTTGATTTTTAACCAATTTTCCAGTAATTGAGTTAAAATAATACTAGAATACTCTTTTTTCTTTAACGTTTTGTTTATATTCCAAATTAGGCAATCTAAGCTAGAGACTTCTCCTGCCTTCATTTCCATTTTATACCATCCTTCGTCTTTATTTTCTTTAATTTGCATTCTATAGACATGTAGGATAGTAGCTGCTTTAAAATTATTCATTATAAATGGATAATCGAGTCCACCTTTATGTAATTTCTGCACCAATATTGACTGTTTCAATCTTGGCTTCTTGCCTTTCCAAATGTATTGAGTAAAACTTCTTTGTATTAATTGAAGCCAGTGGATTGGAATATGGAGAGGTAGCATTTGAAACATATAATTCCACTTTGGTATAACATATGAGTTAATGACATTTATTCGTCTCCAAAAAGTAATCTCTAGATTTCTACGGTCTTTTAACCATTTGTTAATGTCTAATAATAATGTTAAAAAATTTACTTCCATAATCTTATTTATCTCTCTAGTTATTTTAATTCCTAAATAATCCATGCTTTCTTTAACCCAAATAAAATCATATTTGTTTTTAATCTCTTGTTGCATCTTTTTATTGAAATTGACATCTAATATCAAAGATTTATTTGTATTTAACTTATAATTTGATATAAAACTATATCGCTCTATTTCTTGCATTATATGTTCTAAAGAATTTTCAGGATTTGTGAGAGTAATTAAAATGTCATCAGCATATAGACTAATTTTTTGATATTCATCCATTATTTTATATCCGTTAATCTCTTTATTGTTCCTAATATTTTCAGCCAATGGTTCGATAGTCAGCAAGTAAAGTAATGGTGAAAGGGGGCAACCCTGCCGAGTACCATTTCTAAATTGGAACCATGAGGCAACAATATTAGGTCCAATAGTCCGTGCAACTGGATTGACGTATAACGCCATTATGGCTTTTTTAATCCAACCTTCCAATCCATAATGTGATAAAACGGCTTCTAAATATTTCCAGCTGACTCTGTCGAATGCTTTTTCAGCATCGATCGACAGAGTCAGAACTGGAACATCATTTCTATTTGCATCGTCCAAGATATTGATAATTTTCCTTATACTTGTGTAGGAATTTCTACCTGGAACATATCCTATTTGGTCTTTATGAATAATTAATGGAAGAAGTTTTTTTATTCTGGCAGCCAAAACCGAAGCGTATAGCTTAGTGTCTACATCTATTAAAGATATCGGACGATAATTTTTTATGTCAGTGGGGTTTTTATCATTTTTCAAAATGGGTAAGATATTGGCTTTAAGCATCTCTGCTGGTAAAAATCCTCTGTTTGCCGCTGTATTAAAAGCAGAGGTCAAGTATGGACATATTAGATCTTTAAATGTTTTATAGAATAAATTGCTAAACCCATCCGGGCCTGGTGTTTTAGATCTTTCTAAATCATTTATTGCTTTCATAATCTCCTCCATAGTTATAGGTTTATTCAGAAATTCATTTTCAATAGATGTTAATTGAAACTTCTTTATATTATTTAGATAATTTTTAATATCTTCATCTGTATTGATTTGAGATATATTATATAAATTGGCATAGTATTCATTAAAACATTTTCCAATCTCTCTAGGGGTTGATGCTATTTTTCCATTCTGTATTGTTTTATCTACCTTATTTTGTCCTTTTTGTTTTCTAAGTTTTTGGGATAGCATCTTTTCGGCTCGATTACCTTTAGAATAATATTTAAGTTTTAATCTATCCATATTTTTGGCTATCGTATCTATTAATTTTTGCTTTATTTTTTCTTTAAGTTCTAATATTTTTCCATAAATTTCGGAAGATGGGGATTGTTTATTGCTGACTTTGTAGCTTGATAATGTGTCCTCTTATAGCATCCTTAAAGGTGCACCATAAAATAGATGGATCAATATTTTCTGAGATATTTTCTTTGAAGTAGTTTTTTATATTATTTCCTATATTAGTTTTTTTTAATTCACAACAAAGCAAATTATCTCTTAGCCGCCAGGTATAGGCTTCTCTTTTAAATGTGCTGAGAATCATTTCACAAAAAACTCCATTGTGATCTGTCCAAACTATCTCATCAATCTTTGTTTTTTTGGTCATATCAATGATACTTGGATCTACCCAAATCATATCCAATCTTGAATAAGAAAAATGCACTTTTCCTAGTTGACATTTTGGCTTCTTAAATGCTTCTCAATAATAGATTATAGCTAGATGCCTCATATAAAGCTTTAGCTTTAGTCTTGAATAGGTTGATCAAAAAAATTAAATAATTAATTCAATTAAATCAGTCGGATATGTCAATCTCACCAAAAAAAAAGAAATTTTCTTTCCAGTTTTCTTTTTTCCAAGCCAGTAATTATATACAGATGTAATGCTTAACAGTATTGTTGTAATATATACAAAAATACTCACAATTTTTATGTAAGGCTGTTTGGAAAACTGCTGAAGGATATATCTTTTCCTTTTTTTCTCCTTTTCTTCTTATTTGTCTCTTAGTCTTTCCTTCTTTCTTATTCTTTCTTTCTTTTCTCTGTTTCTTTTGTGGTTTATGAGGGAACTGTTGTTATTTCTCCCTTATCTCTTTTGATAATTTATGGAGGGACCACCGCTGTCCGTCCAAATAAAGACAACAGACCTCCAACAAAAACGCCAACTGGCATCGACTGGCACACACCGTGTTCCTTCAATCCAGAACGACCAGCCCACTAAGTCAACTCTGGGTCTTCCCTCCACCTCATCCGCTTCAATCCCCACCGAGCCAGGCCTTACTCACGGAGCGGTACGGAGCAGCATTTCTAGCTCTCGCCTCCACGTCCTCTCTCCTCACCCTCCCTCCGGACACGCCCACCTGCAGCACGTCTCACGTCATCACCCCGGGAAGGGAACATTTAACATATAAGTTCCAAAAATACCATAAAGTGTCCTTATTCACAAATAAAAAAATCTTTATTAAATCCTTCATTGAAATAACCAAAAAGGACACTATACTGAACCCCCTCAAATAGCTAGTGTAAAGGTAAAGATAATACCATTGCTTAAACTTATAGAATAGTCCAATTGACTGATATTGTCAATGGGACTTGAAAAGTAAAAACAAAATGGTTAGGCTGATAACCTTCAAAAAAATGTAATAAAGCAAGATGCCTACAAATAAATATAGGTAGGGATAAGGAGGCAAAAAGAGAGTGAGAACTACAATTATTGGGTAAAAGTTTGTCATTCATACCCACTCCACACTTTGATAAATTCACCTGGGTTAAAGACATTCACCTTTTTGCCCGGAAACTCCTATTACATAAAAATTATCTTCTTATTGAGGATAAAAAGGCAAAGGCTTTGGGCCTAAATCTCAAGGATTACAAAATGGCCATGTTGCTCGTGGATCTTTTGGAGGAAAATGAAAATGGTGAACAACCAGTGTGTCCTCTCACTGACCTTAAGAAAAAAAGTCAATACTGTCCTAAACTTGGAGACTCTTAATATGTTGAGACATTTGTAGAACTAGTATGTAATGAGATCGAAAAAATTACATCATCAAAATTAATTTTGAAATCCAATTCTAATTTGTCTACAGCAGAAGCGAGGGCCTTAAATTCCCTAAGAGATAACAAGGAAATTACGATTAAGCCCTCCGATAAGGGGGGCAATATTGTGATTATGGACACTGCTAATTATGTAGAAATGACGAAGAGAATACTGACTGATGTCAATACGTATAAAGTAAATAAACATGACCCGTCCAAAAAGTTTTTGGAAGAGTTAAAAATAATTTTACAAAAGGGATTGGAGGATACAGTGATCTCTAAAAATGAATATGATTACATTCTAGGCGATAGCCCATTTATCTCAACTTTTTACAGTCTACCTAGGATACACAAACAATATAAAACTCTTACCGGGAGACCGATAGTCTCTGGCAATAATAACTTGAAACAGAACGCAAGTATATATCTTGACCAAATTTTGAAACCTTTGGTTATTCGATTACCATCATATCAAAGCAAACTCTGGCAGAATTGACCAAGATCCAGATGCCCCCACAGTCTATATTGTGTAGTTTGGATGTGGAGTCCCTGTATAGCTCGATTCCCCATTCTCTAGGCTTAAAACATACCAGCTACTTCTTAAGAAAAAGAGGTACCCACTTTGACAAACACAGTGAGTTTACAGTACAACTCCTCAAGTTTATCTTGACACATAACTTCTTTCTGTTTGATGGAGTATTTTACCATCAGGTGTAGGGGACAGCGATGGGGACATCTTGTGTGCCCTCATATGCCAACCTGCACCTGGGGTGGTGGGAGGAGAAAATAGTATCCGCAGACTCTAATAATGATCTAATCCAATACATCTATTATTGGAAAAGATATATAGATGATATTGTAATTATATGGACAGGCACAAATGAACAATTTTCCAACTTTGTACAGAAGCTCAATGTGAATGATTTAAACCTTAAATTCACAATTGAGGTGGGAACTCCCTCCTTAACCTTTCTAGACCTCTTTTTAATTCCGAATTCCAATGGGACTATAAAGACTAATCTGTTCAGGAAAAGTATGGCCACAAATAGCCTACTGAATTTGAGGAGTCATCAGCCACTCCCCCAGAAAAGGGGAATTCCCATTGGCCAATACTTACGACTTCAACGTAATTGCTCAGATATTGAGGATTTTAAAATAAAGGCTAGAGAATTGCGGGTTGTGACAGATCCATCTGCATAGACTGGGATTGCTGGTTCGTCTGTTTCACCTTATTCGTGGAATTACCCGTTCGTATGCCCCTGTTCAGTGAATTTACTTTTCCGCCGAACAAAACTACCGAACGGACGGCCACCCAGAAGAGAAGTGTGCTGCTGGTTAACCTCTTGATCCCAATTAGAACGTTGTGGTTAACCGCAGACACTTTTCAATTAAAACTGAATGCAGGGTGGTCGTCGTTCGTATGTCGCCCACGAGGCGGTGGCCATTTTAAACCATGCGAAAGACTAGCGGTGCTCGGCATTGATTTCATGGAACTGAAAACGGCCACTTTTTCTGCCAAACACCGCTGAAGCCGCCGACCTCCCTTCTCAATCGACAGAAGGATGCGAACACCGGCCGTTCGGGAGGTTTAAACACACGAATGGACTTACCCCAAATAGCCTTCCCATGGAGTCAATCGCATACCGAAAGACTGTAATAGACTTTGACTCCATGGCGATTGAACTATGCATATGGGATCTGAGCGCTATTCGCCAATAATATGCACTCAGATCCAGGCTATCTGGGGATACGTGATACGAAT